AAAGGACTATTAGCACAGTCATCTCTTCATCGAATTAATATCAAATCAATCCGTCATTAAAGCAACGGTCTCACGCCCCAGCAAATTATCTTTCACCCCATCAAGGAAGGTGGAAAGTCTAATAGAAATCGGTAATAAGAAACTAATCGTACCACGCGTCGGTTGGACACTTACTACAGTTACCATCTCTACGTAGCGAGCAAAAAGCCATATTGGATGTGTCAGGGGATGATTGATGCGCAAGAGCAAAAACCTGCGTCGAACGGAACGGAGGCCGTGACGCGCCGTGGAATGTGGCTACCGCGCTACGCACTCGATTTGTTCGCGCGCAGGCGCCTTTCTTATTAGCACAGAGATTGAAAAACATCATGATAGTCGATATTAATTTAGCTAAAATTAATTTTCTTTAGGATTTCCGTATAAAATTCAAACTAACCAATCACCAATCATAATGGCAGTAATATCACGTGAAATTTGGTATAAAAGTTTAAATCGTCCAATAAAATAACTGTATGTGTTTTAATCCAAGTTCCATTAGCAAATGGGGTAATCATACTCGAGTATTGTATTTAAGCTACAATATTATTTACATGATTGTCTATTCAAAACTTTTAGAGAAAAACCGACCTCAAAAGTTTGTGGAATTACAAGTCAAGAATTACATACCTATTTGCCACGTTTTATTGAAATTGATTAACAGAAAGTGGGTGAAATCCAATAAACCGGATTCATCCCCTATTTTTGCTACCCTTAGAGGTGGAATATTTTCTTCAAATTTGAATAGGACGACTACAGACGTATTTCCATTCTAACAAAAAAAAAAGAATCATCGAAATTCATTCACAATGTCGGAATAGTCGCGTAACATACACACAAAAAAAGTACCTGACTTGGGAACCTCCTCCTTTTTTTTGAAGTCCTTTAAAAATTATGAGAAAATATGGAGGACAGTTAGTTGTTGTTATTTTACAACTTTGTCATCACTCGTGTATGCATGTGTATGGATAACGTAGATAAGTTCTATTTTTTGCAGTAGAACCTATATTTTGCATTGGACCCAATATCGGTGATCATTGAAGAGAAACTTGCATATAAGCACCCATACATTTTACTTTTCGCTGCTTTGTACCTTTATGAATTAAGAATCTATAATACTGTATGAGCGTAGGTCTAGAGGCAAATAATTGAGGCAAAACGCATTAAAAATTACATTGAGAATTTTAATTTGACAAGAAAGATAAATTTAATTACCACAAAGCTCATAAAATGGTAACAAGTATTTAAAAACATTTTTAGTGACTTATATTTTCAGTGATATTAGCATGAATATGAAAAAAAAAAGTTTTACCATGTAAATGCTTTAAATACGTTACTTACTATACAAGCAAAAGGAAACCGAACTTCAAACATATGTTAGATGAAATCAAGCTTCAATACGATTATTAATGAAAAAAATCCATTATAGGTTTCGTTTTTTGCCACCAAAACCGTCGTACACGCATGCGCCTAAAAATAATTATACGACTTTAAGTAGCCTGTCAAAGTTAATGTGTAAATAGTAGCTTTCGAGATTATGTGCGGTGGAGCATCGCATTTTAAAGGTAAGGCGTCAATTTTGGCGGCTAACCTCTTATTACGCCATTAGTTTCGATCAATATTCTATTGGCTCAAAGCCAAGGTGCCAAGCATAAAAAAATCTATTGAACGATCGATTTTCGCGCCACTTATTTTTTTTAACTTTATAAACGTAGGGTGCGTTCCGGACCCGTAATTATTATGATGTGTTCAGAATACCCGTGTCATAATATTGTATTTTTATTTCTTTAAAGCTCTCGCTTCCTTTCGTATTGCTGTAATTACAGCATCAAGAATATGTTTCGCTTAGTGGAAACAGTAAATTAGTTTTACTTCTATTTTTATGCAGTATTCAACAGAAATTAAAGAAAGAATTTGAGGTAATTAAGTAATGTGTATTCCTAGTAGTAACTCTACATAAAAAGACGGTGCTCTGGTTATTTTGAACTCTACATACCCACTACATGTACACATTATTGTATGAATAATGGAAACAATAATCATAATTCCTTTGGTAACAAAAAAGTCGATGATGAATGTTGTAACGTTTTGGCGTCTGATCTTGTAATATTATACAAACGGTAGGTACAGATAAACGACAAATGTGGCACGGTATGCAAGAAGACGACGGTTCTAATCCGACCGGATCGAAGGAATTTTTTCTGAGTATTCGATCTTTGTATTAATAATTATAATGAATTATCTTTTTCAAAAAAAAAAATCCGACAGCAAACAAATATCTTACACGTGTCCCTACCTAACTATCTAAGTACATTATTTTGAGCAAACGTTATTAGTGTAGGAATTTCGATTATACCTGTATCTTTACCGCACTTCATAGCAATATAGGGAAATGAAAATTTGTGTGAACTGACATCTGGTCACTTTTAATGACTTGGCTTTACTGCCGGGCTACTGGCAAGACCTGCAATTTCATACACCGTACACATCGGCTACGGGTCTTCAACGATTGGTATGGTTAGATTTGCTCATTAGTTCACGTGAAGTGGTCATATCAGGTTTATCTATATGTTAGCTGGTTTAATATGGTCTTTGACAGTTTCACACGATACGCTTTTTTCAAACTGGCAATAGATTCACCAAAAATAGAGCATTATAAGTACAAATTAACCTGTAAAAATTGATACTTTACTAAACAAAATCATATTTCTAGTCTGTTTAATAATAATGACCCCTCTGGTAGGGGGTATCTAGCTTTAAGTTATTTATAACAACGTAGCTCCTTAGTTTAAATATATTCCCTGTGTATGGATCAAAAATTTTCAGAGGTCATTGTTTAATGGCCGCAGTAGGTGCGAATCGCTACCGTCTAATCTTGTATACCGTGAGAAAAGACCTATGGTTTTGATAGATGTGTTTTCTTTTTAAATTAATAGACTACTTTCCGGGTAAATGGGATGTTTTTTGTTGTTAGTGTAAAAGGAAAATAAAATTATTTATTTCTTAATTTTCTGTCAGCGTGAAAATATTAACTAATAGTTTCTACTTATTTATTTATTTATTGAACATTGGCTAAACACCAAGCCTTAAAAGGTAACAAATAATTTATAAAATCAAAGCGACGTATAAAATTGACTTTCAAATAAATGAACGACGGGTCTAATACAAAAACCACGAAAAAATGTCCCAAGTCAACCTATTTAAACGTAGTGACATGTAAAGGAATATGAAAAAGCTAAAACGTTGAATTTAAATTGTAATGTCATCGCAGTACTGTCTAATTTTGCTAGCTTCGCTGTCAGTCGAACAAACGAAGACTAAAGCGTGAATGACGCTCTGTATACGATTTTAACGCCCTATAAGTTCGGACACTTTTTAGCGCGGACCCGACGTCCATATAATTGTAAGTCAATGATATTTAAAGTAAAACTTAGAAAAATTCATGTAAAAACTGGAACTACAAAAGCCCGCCATTTTCCATGAAAATCCTAAAAAAAATTTTTTTTAGTATTTAATACTCACTACCACATAATATCCAACTTATTAAAATAATACTTGCGGAATCGTAAAGGCTCTGTCTTAGAATAGATAAAACGTCCATCTCGCGATGCGGTGGATCCAAAACAGTAAATCCATAACAAATGTCATCACCGGGTTTAATATACACCGTCACCGACACATGGAAAGTTAATACTGCAAAACATACAGTTTATAGCATGAATGCATTATTGCAAATAAAGTTTAATGTATAAATAATAATGACATTTACCTCTGATGATGTTGGTTTACTTGCTTTTTGCTAGGTTTTCATTGATCAGTTCAAGGTATAATATAAAATTAATGTAGATGGGGAAAATGGTTCCTTGTCCTTACATTGTTGATGGCGGTATACGTATTTGTTCGTGTCATTAATCATTACTCTCCTTTATGTTTTAATCAGTTAAAGCAACAACTTGTACAAGAGTACAAGGACCGAGACATTGTGTCCGCCGAACATTGGAATACGTCCGACGTACCACCACACGTACCTACGTTTTAACATGGAGAGTTGTTGTATTAGTCTAATTATAATTAGAATTAAAAATATACTCCTAAAGCCATTCTCTGCCTATTCTTGTACGCAGTAAAATTTAATATTCTTTACACGCTTAGCAGTACGGTCGGTGGTTGGTACGTATGGATTTGAACTTTAATAACTATACCAGTATAACTAATTATAACAGTAGTAGTAGAGCTCCTTGTGAAAGGAGTTCGTCCAGGGTAGTACTGCCACCTTACTTATTTCTGCCGCCAAGCGTTTCGGCTTCGAAGGGTACCTAAGGGTGCTGGTGAAATGTAGGCAAATGCGACTTATCAACTTATGTCTCAAGGTGACGGGCGCAGTGGCGGTGCCCTAAGATCTTTGCAATTAAAAGCTCTGAGTGGCACTGCAACTGTTATGGATAGTCAATGGAGGTACCCACTTATTTACATAATATTTAATCGAAAAGGTATCCGTCCCTAATGCTACGCCGGCGACTACTTACCAAGTGAAGTTTCAAAACTAGCACATTGCAGAGGCTTTTACCGTTTCTTCGACACACCTTTATGCCATTATTTTACTTATTCTTTTCTTTTTCTTTTTTAATTTATTTATTTAATATCGAGTTCTTAGGTTTTCGCGATAGTTACATATATATCCGTTTCATTTCTTATTTATTTAATATTGACCGAAGATTCTGTATGTCAGTTTTGCTATCGTATTATTTGTAACGGAGAACATTCTGAGTAGTGTTACGAATATTCTGGAATTATCTCAACAAACTTTTTTCTTTTTTAATTTTAGTAAGCATCTGATTAGCCCATATATGTTTCATTGTTGGGAGAGCAAGTATTAGTCAATCAGACCAACGCTGAAATTTGTTTTGTGCGTTTTCACTTTAGTATCGACAATAAATATTTAAAAAATGTCTCCGTTTTTCCAGCAAGTGGCGACTCCAACAGTAGTGAAAAAGATCCTCAGGCTGAAGCAAGAGAACCCGGGCATGTTTGCGTGGGAGATTCGTGAGCGGCTGTTGAGCGCGCGAGTCTGCGAACCACACTCGATCCCTTCCGTGTCGTCCGTTAATAGGATTTTGAGGAACAGTGGATTGGCTTGGAGTGACGATGACCCGAGGCCGCCTCATGGTATGTTTATCTTCTTTCTTACGCAGAGGCAACATCGCCGAAAACTTAGTTAACAAATTCACAAAACATGCACTGCAAATTTGTATTTGCAGTGGCAGGAGTAGTAAAATTATTCGTCCTTCGGGACTGGGTAAGTTTCTTGTTTAACATTTTTACGGACATTGAAAAAGGGTCTGAGTCGACCATTTTTAAAGAAGAGATAGGCAACTGTAGTTTACTGTGTAGCCGTGGATTATTAGGCCGACAATAGTGTGGAAAGAGGTGCTAATTATTTTGACCGAAGCAGTAACTAATTACTTCTCTGTTTTAGTCAGTCTAGGATATCATGTATAGAATTTATGCTTAATCAACGGAATGCGTTAAATCTTTTTTTTTTAAATTAACTCCACCTAAAAGTATTTTAAAACGAAAATACTTAAAAATAAGTACCATAATTAGCATCAAGTAACAAAGAACGTAAATCATCGACTTTCAAAACAGAACAAAAATTGTCAAAACAAAATATGCGCCTAGACGGACGGACATTCCTGTCTCTGGACAGGTGTAAGGAAGCAACACCCATTATAAATAATGTTATTTTTTTATTTAATTATACTTGTAATCGGGTATAATGTCGGTGACAAGTTTTTTGTTGTTTGATATACATTAAACTATGATTAGTTGGGCCAAGTAACGATTTGATGGTAGAGTTTTAAATAAATGTTTTCTGTAGTACCTACTCGAACGTCTATTTTATTTTTGTTTCTAAGCCATTCAGTATTTTTATATGAAAATGGATCCATATTTGTAACAATATCTGCCTTATTTAGTAGAATATTGCTCATCCCTAGCATAATATTATGATTTCCGAAGTACTAACTTTTCGATACCACAACACAATAGATACGTGATAGAGATAAACTTGACATTTGATGAAATTTTAGAAATCATATCTTTCTTCAGACATAAAATAATCCTGACTTCTTTTTTACAGAGGCCTATCCCCAACCGGAGCTACCACCAAACGTGATGGACTACATGTCACTGAAGACGTCCATACCACCTTCACTACCATCACAACAAAATCCACCATATTTCGCTCATTCCGCTATCAGAGTACCACCCCCTACAGATCCCTCGCATTTGTATGACAGACGACTTGCTACTTCATGGCTGTTAACCAATCAAATGCAAGCACAAGGTCTTCTAAAGCCATACCCAATATCCCCTTGGCAAAGAATCATGATGCCATATCCCGACAAAAATTTCTCACCTTATGCACTAAGTCTACACAATGATCTCTTAAACAAAATCAACACAGATGAGGTCAAATCAGAAAATTCTGAACACATCTCCGTCGAAGCTAGTGACGATAGCACAGACAGACCTGATACTGAAGACAGTGAGCGAAAGACCCCAAATGAAAAGGAAAAGAAGAAAAATCCATATTCCATAGAAGAACTCCTTAAAAAACCTGACAAGATTGTCAATACAAGTCCGATAGGATTTCAGAATTTTTTGCGGCAACCAAGTGGCAGCATGATTGAATATCAAAGTCAAGAAAAAAATTCAAGCAATAGAAGTTCACCAGCCAGTTACTGCTCAATTCAAAGCGGAATTTCAAATTCGAATGATTGTTTTGCCGAATCTGGCGGTTCTGAAATAAAGGCAGGATCTTAATTTTGTCATAGAAAATCTAGTCCAACTATAAAAATAATATTTGTAACAATTTCTAGATTGTTACTTGCGTGTAATTACAGCTTCTTAATGTACAAAATCTAATTGATTGCAGAGATTAATATTAGATGCTTAATTGTTATTTAGATTAGGGTCACCGCCATATTTGAAGTCGTTATTTAATTTAAATTTGTAGTTATGATTACCTCTTTGCTCGATGAACATTCCAATAAATTATTTTTTGTAAATACTAACTAGTTGTAAATAGTGTTCGTATGTATAGGTGTAGTAAATAAATGTACATAGATATTTCTGTGATACTTTTGAGATTAGTTATGTAAAGCATTCCGTTCAAGAAAATTCCATAGTAGTTGTAGCAAAATAGTTTTATTCATTACAATTATTTAACGTGCATTGTTTATTTTTGCCTAACAACTATATGTAGGAGATACCACGTAATTATATATAGATATATGCTTAGTATGTTGTAGAGCAATAGTTGTTTATTTAAAAGCACATTAAACCAAACAATCTAATATGTTGTTTCCTTTGCCCTGATCAAAAGCCAGATACGGAATGTCACACGTGTTGCGTAATTTAAAGAATTAATTTAGAACATAAAAATTTAAAACATTGTTGAAAATTACCTTGACATTTAACATTAATACATTACACCTTCTAATACTTACAATTTTTAATGAAAATATATCCGAGAATGTAATACGTGTGGCGCACTATAAGTTTCCGGAATGAATAAGAAAAAATACTATAAACGGTCAGAAATGAATTTATTGTTTCTCAAAATATTTCCCGTTAGCGTTTATGCACTTTTTATACGAATGAACCAAATTTTGAAAACATTTATACCACTCCTCCGTGACAATCTCTGAAACATATTTTTCATACTTACTTTTCGACAGCCTCTTCAGGTGATGAAAATCGTCGACCGCGTAACTGGTTCATAATTTTTGGAAATAAATAAAACTCACAAGGTGCCAGGTCGTGACTGTACGCGGGATGGCTTATAAAGTCAACGTTGTTCACCTTCAAAAATTCATTTGTCTGACTGGCCGTGTGAGAACTGGCATTATCGTGGTGCAAGATGATACGGCATTTACGGTTATTTTTACGGAGTTTGTCAATAACTTCCGGCAAACAAATGGTTGTGTACCAATCACTATTCACGGTACAACGATTCTCGAAAGCAACAGTAGCCACGTGTCCGGTTTTATTAAGAAAAGAAGCAATCATCCGCTTAGAGGTACTTTGCACGCGCGCCACTTTGGTTGGTTTCGGCTCATCTCGAAAGACGATTCGCTCGATTGCTGCTTCATTTTGGGATCGTAACTATAAATCCATGTTTCGTCATGTCTGTGTTTCATCATCTGTTACTATGTCCCGCACCAAATTTGACGCCCCTTCGTTGAATCTGGTAAGCATGGCATTGCACCAAGTAACGCGATCCGTTTTTTGAGCCTCAGTCAAATTGTGTGGGATCCACCGAGAGCACAGCTTTTTCACAACCAAATGTTTGTGTAGTATTGATTGTATTTGACTAATGCCTATGCCTAAAGATGCCCAAATCTCATGGTATGTCACATGCCTGTTTGTTTTGATCATACGGCGCACAGCATCGATGTTTTTGTTATTCACAGCAATGGACGGGCGACCATCACGAAATTTGTCACTGAGATTCACACGACCGCGTTTAAATTTTTCAAACCAGCTATAAGGCTCAATTAATTGTGTGCTGTGTGTTATTATCAGTTAGAAAGTCGCTCGCTTGATTTTTCTGTTTTCCCCATTGGGTAGCAAAGGTTAAATCCAGTAGAGTTTAACAACAGCATTAAGGATGCGTTCCCATTATGTTGTGACGACTGATAATCGGGCAGTTTAAAGTGTCGTGTCTTGTATATTTAAATGAAGTTATTCACACATAGAATAACACGATCAACTGTAATTCACGACTTTTTCGATGTTATGACGGCAGACTGTCGTGACAATGGGAAGAGATAGAGCGACAGTCATCCGACGATAAATAATACGTTGCGATAAAAATGTGACGTCAGATACAGCTTTAAACGATTCTGTGGTGTTAACGACAAGGCGGCTGCCGTGATCCGACAAATTGTCGTCACGATCTACTAGGAACAGCTAGACATGGCAGTCGTTCAACGATAAAACACGTCCACGATACAGCCACGACAGATAGTCGTGATATGGGAACAGGCTAAACGACAGTCGTCTAACGATAAATAAAACGTTACGACATAATTTTTGTAGCAGTAGAGCTCCATGTGAAAGAGTTCGTCCAGGGAAGTACTGCCACCTCTTTCTGTAAGGGTGAAAATACAGGCACATAAGACCTGTCAACTTATGTCTCAGGGTGATGGGCGCAGTGACAGTGCCCTTCAGATCTCTGCGATTTAAGGCTCTGCAACTGTTATAGACAGGCGTATCGCTTACCACTAGGCCCACGACTAGATCGTCCCGTCATTTGCTATCATAAAAAAATTGTATTAGGCATAAACGAGCAATAATATTCCATCATTATGGATAGTACCTATAATAAAACTGTGCATTGGTAGATGATATTAAATGTGTCCTTTCAGCAAAAAATTCATTAAAATTGCTTTTTGAGACGATAAACGATGATCGAATGGGGAACCATTCGATCATTTCTTCCATCGTTTCTTCTTCATCTGGGAAGTTTGTTATGCCGAATTTAAACTTTTTAAACCATTTGATGCAACTTGGCTTTTGCTGATTGTTTCTGTTTACAAGTATAATATCATTGGTTTTTTTTGCTAAAAGGGTCATTGAGATCGCAAAAGACTGCATTCCAACATATATCTCGATGAGGTAGGCACTTAGAGGTGGAAAAAAAAATAGTCTAAGGTGGATTTTGATATGGCTAATATGGATATGATTTTCGCTACGCATTATCACTAACCGAAAAGATAGGACACAAAACAAATAATTTGAATTGCCCACGTAATAATTATATTTGCGACTCTTTTTTCTGGAAAAATGTCGTCTTTTGGCTTTTATTCACCTGAATGTAAAAAAATCACATAGAAGACTCATGAGATTCCCTCTGCCATAGAACAGATGAAACAACTACTAAAGTATTTTTATTTTTTGCCTTGAAGTAAGTTTTTGCATGCTTTATTATTTGCCAATTGTAAAGCAAGAATTTACATTTTTATTCGAATCACTGATGAAATCAGTAAATAATTAAATACGAGGATGCAATGAACATAGCTCAGTTTCAACAAAATAAGGGACATTACGGGTTTTCCGGTGTACCTATTTCCATAATACCGTAATTTGCATACGGACTCGAACATTACGTAAGTATGTAAGTATTGACCTACGTAATTATTCATTCGAGGTGGCACTTAATTAAAGGTAGGGCCTCGGGAACAAAATATGGAGTTAGCGAAGAAATTACTAATGTTACGCATTTCATTGGTGTCCAGTTAAGAGTTTTATGTATATATATAATTACCTCAAACATTTTAAATGAAAACTGGGAACGTAAATGACAAAGTGAAAATTGAGTTCGTGATTTGTGTTCTAACTCCTACTATCATTAAAAAAATCAGGCTGTATTACATAAAATTTTTGAAGTTATTAAAACGAACGTTATTAATAAATAATATTATTTATTTCCTTTAGGGCATGGCGGCCACTAGGCTTGGGCCAGTGTCACTTTCGAAAACGAACGTTGAAATGATCAAGAAACGAACGTGCACTTATTGTCAGTGTGACATTCCGCTTTTAATCCTTACAGATGCGTCATTTACACTTCAGGAAAGAAAAGGCGCTATACAAAGATGGGATTTTGTATTTCGCTTTAAATAATTATAATTATCTTCTTTTTTTTCTGAAATAGTGACATCAAGTAGCGAAACAAATGTGCACAGAAAATTATATAGTAAAATTGTGTATTTATAACAAAAATTAAAAAGTGCCACCATAAATAAGGAATTAAGAATATTAAGAGTACTTAAAAATGGAAGACAATTTAACGAAACAGGTAAATTTAACTCTGAATTTAAACTTAAATGGTAACTAAAAGACGTGTTATTTTTACGGCATATTATTTGTATTTTTGTTCTAATTCGTATCTTATTTTAAGGCTGAAGAAGTAGAAGCGCTAAGCTCAATATACAGCGATGATTGGACTACAGAAAGTGATTTATCTAAGTCTTATAATATTAAAATTCAGGAGGGCAAAAAAGAGGCTACTTTGTATGTAACTATGCCTCCAAATTACCCAAGTCAGGCACCACCGAAGTATGAGCTTTCTGCCCCATGGATGGACAGAAAGGCAAAAGAAAAACTACGTTCTGCCTTAGATGAAGTGTATTCGTGAGTTCATATATTTATTTTGCTAATATAGGACAAGTTGTAGTTTTTCATCAATTTGTTTTTTAAAATATTTGGTTTTAAATTGTGTATAGAGGTTATCGTCAAAGACATACATGATTCTAAAATTTTTGCAATATCCAATATTATTTACTTTATTCATTAACATTTGTTATTGCGTACTTATTATAGTTAAGGAGAGTCAGAAAAGAAACCGATAAGTCACACTTTAATTTTCTTCTGTTTTAATGCCAAAATTTTCTATGTTTCTATGAATAATTTATCCAAACTGAACATTCTTCCTTCAAAATATATTTCAAGTCATGTACTTGAAATATATTTTGAATCTGAACACAATGCAACAAATCCATTCAATGAAACTAGACGAAATTAGAATAAATATTTATCAGTTTTTGGTCTGAAACCCCTTAATACTTTACCATTTTGAACTTGCTCATGTAATTATATACTTATTATACTACAACAGATTGCATACATGAAAATTTATAGGGTATTAACTTTTTAATTATTTTGTTATTGGAGGATCTCAGGGGTCCAAGGGTTTGTGGGCAACTGTTGGGCAACATTATCCCGGGTTCGATTTTTAGTACGACCAATTTGGGATATTAACTTTTGTAACTTGATTCTGGTTTGGGTGTTCTGGGTAGAGCCTGGGGGTGAATTCTGTTGATCTGGTATTTATAGTACATGGAATTTCCTAGTTTAAGACCAGGCAATTGGTGTGGTTGTCTAGAACACGGCACACAATTAAACTTATAGTCTTATGGAAGGTTAAGTGTTCTTTGTATCACAAATGTCATAAGCGGCACATACTACTTCCTGTTAGGTGGAATATCTGACTGAATTGCATGCCATTTAAAAAAATGCAATTAAATAGTTAAGCACATGTTTACCATATACTTCCCTATACATAAGTTGCAAATTAAATTCCAGTGAAAATGTTGGAGAAACAGTAATATTTCAATGGGTTGAGAAAATAAGAGAAATATTGCAGTCAATGAAGTCTCCAGAGCCAGTTAAGAAACCTGAGAAGACAGCATCTGAAGAAGAGAGTTTAGACTTGAGTAAGGTAAGTTTTATGGTAAAGTCACATTTGATATTTGGAGATTGGAGAAGTTTAAAAAAAAAATTTGAATTAACATTTCACATATTTATCAAATCTATCAAAGCCAGACCAAATCAAATAGCCAACATACTTTATTATAATTATTTAAATGTTAAAATAACTGTCGATTTATCCTCACCAGCACTGAACTACTTTAAAAATTGCAACTTTTCACCAGTGCCTGTAAAAGGGAAACTTGCAATAACTTTTTAATTTTCGAAGATATATTGTTTTACTCACACTACTGGATTTGACTTTGATTATAATAGTAGTTACACATGCCGTTAGAGGCTACGAGTTTATTCCTTCTGAAACTTTGATCGCATTGTACAATCTAAATTAAATAGCTATAACATTCAATTATAATTATTTAATTAGGCAATTATTAAAAAATGATAATAGCTATAAATAGCTAAATGATAATAAAAACGATAATATGTGTATAAATGCTGTAGTTGTAAGTCGTTTCATAGATGTTTTGATGTTGTGGTTACCATCTACACTAGATGTCACTGCTGCTGAAGAATAGTTTTTACGTGAGGAATAAACATTTGGCTCTCTTGCTGTTGTGTGTGATTGGAAAATTAAGCAGATTTAAAGTACTACTGTATATTTGTCTGCGTTTCTGTGCCTTGTTAATAATATATAAAAAAAGATTTTTTTTATAATATCAAGTGACAGGACAAACAAGTCATGCGCTTGATGTTATGCGACACGACATATGACCATAACAGTTGCAGTGCCACTCAGAGCTTCTAATCGCAAAAATCAGAGGGCCACTGTTACTGCGCCTGTTACCCTCAGACATAAGTTTACAAGTCCCATGTGCATGTAATTTCACCAGCACCATTGCCCTTCAAAACCGGAACGCAGTAATGCTCACATTACTGCTTCGCGACAGAAATAGCTAACGTGCAGTACTTATCTGGACGAACTCTTTCACAAGGAACTACTACTAAAGAGTAGTGTATAATTAACTTCTGGAATAATTCAGTCAGAATGGTAAACCAACAAAATACGCGACCACGTTAAACTTTGTTCCTCTCCTCTAATGTTTAAATGTTTACTCAAACATTTGATTCATAATGTTTTAAAAAAAATCTTTTGCAGCTAGAAATAAACTGTCCAGAGATCACACATGGTGAAGTGATAATGGATAGAAAAAGTTCTTTCCAAGGCCACGCAGCTAAAGTAGAAAGTATTGCAGACGTTAAGTAAGTGATGTTTTTATATCACATATTTTCTCGCATTTTTCATTTAGCGTTTCGCATCGCATATTATGTCACGTCGTAAGTTAGGACGTTGGCATTAATGATAGCCAACCAGTGATTGTGTTGTCGGGAAGAATGGAAAAATAAAAGTCAATACATAACCCCATGTAACTCGAATAGTGAGAGGTAGAAGGCTCAGGCAGGATCGATATTAAGATGTTACTTAATTATTTATTTCTGCATACAAGTTATATGAGTACATATCAACGATTACTGCTTATTAATAAGCTATAGCTCAAAATCGTAATTTAACCCTAATGAATCAAGTGCCCTCATAGGTCACCGATGATTCTAGTCTATTAAGGGCGCGTTCCCATTATGTCGTAACGTTTTATTTATCTTTGAACGACAGTCGTGTCTAGCTGTTCCCATAAGATCGTGACAACAATTTATCGGTTCAAGGCAGCCGCCTTGTCGTTTGCACGACAGAATGAATCATTTGAAGATGCGATTATCTGTCGTCACATTTTTATCGTGACGTTTTATTTATCTGTCGTTCTAGCTCTTTCCATTGTCACGAAAGTCTGTCGTCGTAAAGTCAAAAAAGTCGTGAACGACAGTTAATCGTGTTGTACCATAATATGAACAACGTTTATTTCATGGTTGAACGACTGTCGTGTCTAGTTTTTTCCCGCTAGATCGTGACTACAATTTATCGGTTCACGGCAGCCGCCTTGTCGTTTGCACGACAGAATAGTTTGAAGCTGCGATTGCCTGTCGTCACATTTTTATCTTGACGTTGTATTAATCGTCGGACGACTGTCGTTATCGCTCTTCCCATTGTCACGACAGTTTGTCGTCGTAAAGTCAAAAAAGTCGTGAACGACAGTTAATCGTGTTGTACTGGTAGACAACTTAATTTAAATATACAAGCCACAACACTTTAAACGGCACGACTATGTGTCGTCACAACATAATGGGATCGCGCCCTTACATAGGAGAGCTTGAGATACGATATGACATGTATATCTATACTTAATACGAGATTCAAGATTTGTCTATTAATACAGTTCTGAGTTAGTCGTAACGTGGCAGACCTTATTTGAAATGCAATAAAAAAACTTTCTCTTTGCAGCGCCGTCCTAGCAAAATTAAAGCAGAACAAAAAGATAATACATGCAACACACAACATGTACGCATACCGTATCGAACGGAAGACTGAGAAAGGGCTTTCGATATTGCAAGATTGTGATGATGATGGAGAAACTCATGCTGGGGGAAGAATGCTGCATTTGCTCCAGATTTTGGATCAGAAGAATGCACTAGTTGTTGTGTCTAGATGGTGAGTAAAAACATAGTATAATAAGATAAATATTGTAACAGCGCGTCAATGCCTACACTTTTTTTTTATATAATATTGAGTGACGGGACGAACAAGGCGTGCTCCTAATGGTAAGCTACACGTCTGTCTATAACAGTTGCAGTGCTACTCTGAATTTTAAATGGTAAAGATCTGAAGGTCACTGCCACTGCGCCCGTCACCCTGAGTTGACAAGTCCCATGTGCCTGTAATTTCACCAACACCCTTTCAAAACCGGAATGACGGAGTAACGCTCACATTACCGCTTGGCGGCAGAAGTAGGCAAGGTGGCAGTACTTACCTGGATGGAGTCTTTCATAAGGAGCTCTACTGCAGCTAAACGTCGTCGGTGCGTAGAGTTATCACTATTATTTTAGTTGTACAAGTAGTAAACATAATTTGAGAAAATTAATGTATTCTATATAGTAATGACGTAACTCGTTTCGCGTCTGCTCGCACCGCACCGTCGACTTTTTCGGACAGGCTTAACGCGGCACCGTAAGTATAAGTGTGGTGAGCCCTTTATTGAAAAAGACATATTAAATGTGCAAGCGCACAACACTTATATGACAGGGGACGCTCCGGAGTAGGACGTGGAGTGGGGACGTCATAGATACGGATCAACCGTCTTCAATAATTCCAGCGGTTAAGAAATCAAACCGTTACTCAATAGAACAATAATCAGATTATTGCGTGTACTTAATTTCTACACACATAACTTATCTTCCATACACTTAACTGCGGAAATATATATCGCGATTGATATAGTTTTAATTGGAGTGCGCTTCAAGGCCCTTGCAAATAATCTGTCTGTCAATTTATGGATACCCCTGAGCCCAGGGAGACTCAGGGGTTATGTGGGGACTCTCCGTCCACACTGGAAGGCCTACCCCACTAAAACCCCCCGGGTTTCCCTTTCACCGGTTGAGTCGGCGCCGTGGGATCAGTGAACATTCACCACGACGCCGCCCGGCCGCCCTATCTTGCGCCAGGGCTCCCGCACCAACGGAGGGACGAGTCGGTTGTCTTCTGACCCGCCCCCCAGACGAGTGAGGCCGTGCAATGCAGGCTCCGGAGTCCCTGCCCAGAGCCCGCTGGTCTCACTAGGGGATCAGGCGACCAGCGAACTGCCTTCGCCTTCTCCCCGTACGTCTGCGCCGGAGCGGGTGCGCGTCCGCCGCGTCCTCGCGCACCCGCTCCGCGGCCTCCTTTTGCGACATAACCTCTGTGCAAAAGGAGGCCACCGCCTCCCAGGACTCCTCGCTATCGAGCATGGCGGCAACCACTCTCGTCAACGAGAGGTCCTGCCCTATAGTCCCCGTCAGAGTGCGGCGCTGCTCATCCCACCGGCTACACACCTCTAGGGTGTGCTGCGCGGTGTCATCCGCAGCGCCGCACTCGTGGCACGACGGGGACGGTTCCCTCCTCGCCACCTTGTGCAGGTAGTGACCAAAGCAGCCGTGCCCGGTCAGCACCTGCACAAAGTGGTACGACAGTGGCCCGTGGGACCGGTTTACCCACTCTACGAGGACAGGGCGGATCGCCTCAATGGTACGAGTGCCATAGGGGGGATCCGCCAAGCCCTCTTTCCACCGGTCCCGCATGCGCTGCGCCGCGAGGCGGCGCTCCCGCTCCACCTCAACTGGCGAGCCTCCCGCCCGCATGAACTCGCCACAATGGCTGACCTGCAAGCAGGTGCGTGGCGAAGCGTCGATTTTTGCCGTCAGTGGCCAAACTTGAGTTTGCTGCCTCTTCTATTTTGATGTGTACACCAACTCAGTAGAGTACTAAAAAACCAATCTCAAAAGTCATTCACCCCTAGTTTGCCACCCTTAGGCTGCCTTTTCCTCGGAAATGTGCGAGTTAGCGAGGCGGTGCGAGGATGTGTAGTACCGCTGCGAAACGGTGTGATGTATTCCACCAAAGCTGTGCGAAGATGCGTTACGAACTCTTACAGCTATGCGTGTGCGGGGTACGGTGTGGTGGGGAGAGCGGTGGCGATATGTCAGTGTCAGTTAGTGTCATACTTTCAGCAGCTCTAGTTTCCTACACCGTTTTCGCATACATTCCTCGCCCGCATCCCTCGCACACATTCCTCGTACACATTCCTCGTACACATCTCTCGCTATTTTGTATGTACAAATACTTAGCTCCGATAACCCTTTTTCTAACGGAGCAGCGCTAAGCGAGGTTAGGAAAATGAAGTGATCCTATTGGTGGTTTTTTTTCCGTACACTGCCTCGCTACGTCGCACATCTCTGGTGGAAAGGCAGACTTAGAGATGGAAAATTTACTTCAAATTTAAATGGGACCACTACTGAGGTACCCTCTTTCCAAACAAAAAAAGAATCATTAAAATCGGTTCACAAATTTTACGAGTTATCGCGTAACGTACATACAAAAAACAAATACAATCCAATTGAGAACCTCCTCCTTTATTTGAAGTCGGTAAAAAAGTAGTTCGTTCGGGCAGACTCGGCTTGTTTCATGTACGCCTGTTCTAATTTTAGTTTTAAAAAATTGACTAGTTAGGGCGCGTGTCCACGCTAAGAAAAGTCGCTGGGTCTATGCAAGAATTCATGTCATTTCTACACACGAACTGTGTACACTGCCTCGGCGCCGGACAAGAAAGAAATCTTGTCTACCCCCGAAACGATGCACTCTGCCGCTATTGTATGGGGCGGGGCGAGGTGTCGGTAAACGAACGAAATGCGCGTGGACGGGTGTTGCTTAGTAGTCAACTTTACAACAACATACCACAGTCGGTAGTAAAACGACTGCTACCTGGAAGACTCGTAATGCACTGACACATTTTACCCTACACACGTCTGTCCGAAATCATTCGTATTACAGACACGACATGCTTTTGTAGATAGATCCGACAAAGTTCTTGTCGTGTACAAGATCATTCTCATCCTTTCTGTAGCAAACACGCCGAATTTCTTACTGTGCCACTCGGGGCCATGGCCCCACTCTGCACCCCCCGTGCTACGCCACTGGCAACATTGCAATTCGGTATTGTGGTCTGGTCTAATAATTACCTAGTAGCGAACAACGATCTAACGAATTAATAGTAACATCATCTATCTGGTAGAAATAAACAAGTCAGTGTAATGTTCCATCTCAAATCAATAACTGTATATAGGTATTTTCCTATTTATTACCTATTCGTCTACCACATACATTCTATTTCATCCAAATTCCGTACTTTTTCTATAATCTGTAACTCTGTATCCTTAACCTTTTGAATGGCTAAATATGAAGGCAAAGCCATTTACATTATTAAAAGACTGTAAAAATTAACTTATGAATTAAACTCGCTGTTTGTAGTTTGCTACGCCAATGTATAATTGCTAAGGAAATTTTCCATTAAATAGACTGCTTAAATTTAAATAGCAATAATAATTTTCAGGTACGGTGGCGTCCAACTGGGCCCGGATAGATTCCGTCACATTAACAACGCTACGCGGCAGGTCCTCGTGCAAGCGGGCTTACTTAAAAATAAATGACAAAGCCGAAGGAGCAGACCTTGCAGTGGATCTAAGGCCTTAGAAGTGCCTAGTGACTGATTCAAAACTCACGTTAAGTAGACGTAGCATGCTGTCAAATGTTACATAACTATGGAAAATTCAGGGGAATTCATCATTGACTCAAAATGTTCTATTGATTCTTTTTTTTTACAAAAAATCGTTTCTCAATATCTCAATTTATACTAGAGATATTAGTGATTAAAGTCTTTGGTGGGGGATGTTGCCTTTTTAGCAAAATGTTCATTAGTATACAGTTCGTTTAGGGCGCATTTATTCGACACGAATTTCTGTGCGTCTAACTATCATGGCAAAATACGCTCTATTTATTTCACTTTTATGTTTTAACTTGAATAAGTGTCACAGGCACGCGGGTGAGCCTGGCTTGAATTTGGTCTACGCGGCGACCGCGTGGTTGTATTATTCAGAGGAATTTAAATGTGAATAGAATTCAGATTCGCCATTAATGTACACGAAGGCGTGGTAACTGGGAGGTCGCCGCGAGAAAACTTTCTCCTCGTGTAACTGGGCGCAAAAAGAAAGAGGTTCTCAATTCGACCTTGTGTGTGTTTTTTTGTACGTATGTTACGCGATAACACAATTTGTGCACCGATTTTGTTATTCTGTTTTTTGTTGGAGAGTGTCAGTAGTGGTTCCATTTAAATTTGAAGAAAATATTCCACCTCTAAGGGTGGCAAACTAGGGGATGAATGACTTTTGAGGTAATTTTTTAAGACTGTACTATTATATAATAATATACACACTCATAGCCCCGCACTAGAGAAACCCCGTTTTCGCGGGTTCCATGGACACACATAAAACTACAAATTACACCCAAACTCACGTGTGATGTAAATGTACCATTTCAAATATTTCTCCTGGCACAAGAATCGACTCTGGACCTCTGCGTGGCTGACCAGCATGGTAAGCGTTCAGTCATGGAGGTAGTCAATCAAATAATGGTACAGTATTTACCACCTTTTTTTTCAGTAATCGATTAACAATGTTCTTACATTCTTAACCCCTTCATGGCCAGTAACGGCGTTACCGTAAAAATAAAAAAAAATTCGAATATGGGGTATCCTATTTCGATATATGGATCTTATAAAAACTACTACGGGCTTTGCTGTGCGAATTACAACTACTTTCTTTATAGTTGCCGCCTACTGCTTCTCGATAGAGAAGTATCAATAATATACTGACAAAATTAAATTATTTATTTGAGATACGTCTGTGGACGTTACACACGTATATTTAATATGTGCACACCAAGACACTACGGTGAATACCGACGTATTTGTATGACGTGTTGTAAGATCGTACATGTCAGTGAGTCGCCAGCGACTGCCTTTTGTAACCACACAACCTGTGTAGTTTGTTTTCGCGCTGGAACTTTCTGACAGTAAAAAATCCTTCAATTTTTTTCTCTAAATGCAGTTTTTTACTAATTCAATAAACCAATAATGTGTACTGCAGAAACCCTATTCTATAGTAAATAATAATGAAACGTGTTTTCACACTTTAAATCAAGTTAGTTAGGTAGGTATTTTCTGCCATCTAGGTGAAATGAATTACTTAATTTTCGTTTAAATTTGATGAATAACTGCTATACTTACTATTAGTAATCAGAATCACCTCTTTTACTACTTTCCAAACTGTGATCTAATTATTCAAATGGTAAATAAATAACCTTCATCACTGCTTAAATATAATCTAATTAGTAATTGTTTCTTTTGGAATTGTTAGTACACAACAACTTTTATTTGACTTCTTATACTGCAAGGGGTACGCTATTTTACGGTGTACGCTATTTTAATGTACAGATTTAGACTTTTTTGCTGAAATAAATTGAATAAAATCACTTTACTTCTGTCATAGCCGTACTTACTTATGCACAAGAAACATTTGCAAGAACAGTTTGCAGTGCTGCTATGAATGTCGACGGGATCAGCCGTCAGTGATAAAGCGTAACAATTAAGTTGAATCAATATAGTCACTACGACATAAAGAAAAGTAGTGAGTTTAGGTGTGCGGTATTATTTCAGTACTGTCCATGAAGGGGTTAAGTTGTAAACTTATAATGATAAAATATTTACCACCAAAAAAAATGATGTTTCTTTTTTTAAAAAAAATAGCAATGGAAATGGCATCTACGACCCTCAATAACCTGGGAAACCGCAATATTTCATCAGATAAGGCATTTTACAGATAGGGCTCGTGGTAGAGGCACAGATCTAATAGCCAGACATTTGGGTAAAAAGGCACACCCACTGTAAAGCAACATTTGTAAGGATTTTTTGTCGTAATTTTAATACGACATTTTTTTAATGTAGCACCATGATTTTTATAATTCATCAAAAAATCTTAAAGTGTAATGAAATAATAATAAAACTGAATAATTCAGTCTTTTAATCAATCATCTATTGTTGCAATGGCTATTAAAAGCCGGACCAATCAAACACCGGCACCGTCTCAACGCACCCTTAAAGCCTATGTCCGGTTTTATCTGGACGCGTGACAACGGTACATACGACGCTGTTGCCGTTACTTTCTTGCCAATTATATTCCGTTTTCACATTTATTTTTCAATTACTAAGTTTTTTGTAATATATCCCTTTTTTAAGGAATTAAAATTTCTATATATTGTGAAATAAAAAAAAGATATTGCAAAAACAAAATCATAAATTTATAACTTAAAGATCAGAATTAGGCTTCGTCAATAGGTACTAAAATACAAAAATCGGTATCTACAAAACATTTCGTGAAAAAATTCTAACTTTAACAAAATCCCGTCCAGTTTCATACCTGGCTCAGTTTCCCATTATTGGCAACATTGCCCCGCTAGATGGCAATAGACACCTGTAGGACCAACAACGACCCAGAGCGGCGATCGCATTTCTGTCTATTTCTTAATGCTAATAAAAAGCGTTATATTTTCAATGATTGTCAAATAAGTACCCTGTCGTATGTGGTTAAAATATGTACAGGGTCAAGAGCAGATCAATCTTGACACTAAAATTGAAATTCTACTCTATGAGCTTCCAATAAAAACGGTTCAAAGTGTCAAGATTGGTGTGTGTCATTGACTGTAGTAATGTACTAGACTTCCAAGCACCATATTGTATGTGCAATATATTTTTACTCATTGTCCGTATCTAGTCTTAAGTGTGTAGTTGTATGTGATGAATTTGTAGATAGGTATGGACCTATATGGCAATGTACATAAACGTAAATGCTATTGGAACTATGGATCTCTAGTTTTGTACTCTGTGTACACTTAATGGCATATCAAGTGTACACCTTAATACGATTAGTTAAGAACTATTGAAACGCACAAGTGTTATACTTGATATGCCATTAACTATATTATTAATGAAATAATGTGAATAAATTGAATACATAATAATATTAATGATCTGGTTTTATTTTATAGATTGATTTTAGCGGTGTCTGCATATGTAATGTGTAATCTTGACAATAATTATGATAAAATCGCACGAATTTTAAAAAAATTCTGGCTTCTCTTGGAGAATTTTGCCAATGTCTAGTCAGTCACGGGATTACATTTTTTTTAATTACGTTAATTACTTACAACTTGCTCTTTTAAGTGTTTTGTTAACCATGGCATTAAGGAAAGTGACAGTTACTAATGTCATTTTGAGAAATAATGTTGCCATATTTATTGCAAGTTTTTGATTGAATTCACAATACACTGTCTGAATCAATCACAACCTCAACTATTTTACACGATTGAACCTTCACTGGGTTTGTGGAGTACCAGATGAATTTATTCTAATGAATTTCTGCAAAGTACTGCCTGAATCTATATAAAAATTTTAGTAGGGGTATTTTATACCAATGAAAATATTGTCTTGTTCCATGTCTTGTACCGATAAAGTCTTTGTAATTCAAATTGAGAAATAATATTACCACTTTTTAAACGAACTTACAACGGACACGTATACGAACCGACAAGCTCGACATATACGCTCCAACTTCGATTGGACTTTTGTGGAATTGGATAAAAGTACGTATTGTTCCACTACAGCGCATAGCAAATACTCACTGGCACAAAATTAATTTTTCATGTTTGTTATTTCCATGCTGACTCAGGCCGTAAAATGCGTGTTGTCTGAAAACAATCCGCAAGTCTGAGTTTTTAAGTTTTTATTGAAAAAATTACGAATTACTTTACTTATCTACATTTACATATAACTTTATAGCGTAGCCTTTTAAATTAAAACAAGTTTTTAAAGTAATAATTGTAGATTTTGTATTCATAATTAAATTAGTAATGTTTCTTGTTATTCTTTGCACTATCCGCCGTTTTCACCGTTATGCATTTTTTGTCCATGAATTTTAGTAGATCCTGCAACCAAAATACGACATTTGTAAACAATCTACATAATACAATGTACTATATATAGATTTTGACAAAAGTTATCTTTGACATGTTAGTACTGACGTTCTGATATTAATAGAAGGGGGTATAGTTTTTTCCATGCAGTTATTTCCAAAAGACTTAAAGAAAAAATTTACATTGCAGTTTTTATTAAGAGTGCTAAAGCAACGGAATTCACTCTGGGACACTACCCAGATTAGCCAGACCAGGAGCAATTTAGAAAAGTTAATTTCACAAATAAGTCCTTTCTCATCCAATGTTCACGTTCGTACTCTTTTGTGTGCATCTCCTACCATATTTGCCAGGAGCGTAGCAGATGGAGGTTCATAGTCTCTGCCTACCCCGGTGGGACACATGGGTGAAGATATAAAATGGAGCAAATTTTTAAGGTATGTAAAATGGAGCAAATTTTTTAAGATTTTATAGCAATTTTTCAAAATAGCCTCAAACAAAATAGTTAATTTTTAAATGATTACTCGGCTGTAAGAATGTAGTAAATGTATTGTGAATGAGATATCAAGCTTTCCATTGGTTAAAATAATCATGTGAAAACATTGCGCCGGCAGACTCTTGCCATTAGTTGTTTTTGCAACAATTGCACAATTATTGTTGTCAAAACCTAAATTCGTATTATGGAACGTCCAATTGCAATCAATCGATTACAGAGCTTCTAGCGAGCAATCAAAATTCTATCAATCGACAACAGTGCCTCAAGCGAGCAATCCAACTGCAATCAATCGACAACAGCGCCTCTAGCGAGCAATTAATAAACTAAAACTGCATATAAAACGCTTTAAAACATAGCAACCGGTTGTTTTTTCGCATTGAATATTCTTCATCAGCTTTGCGTGCCACATAACCCTGTTTTTATACAAATGTAGATATTTTTGTGATAGGCCTTATTCTAGAAATACAACTTTATGCTTCAACTTCTGGTAACTAATTTGCTGTCCTAAGAACACTTTACCATTTTGCACCGTTTGATGAAAACACTTAAATAATTAAGTACCATCTGTTAGCAGTTTTCACCGGCACTAGACGCCCTACGCAGTGAGAAAGGATCGACGTTACGACCCTAGGTATTAAGTATCGAATATAGCGAAAAGACAAAAAATACCTTTGGATCATATTTATGCCCACACCGAGACATTTCCTTGTGTATATCTTCGATATTCACTGGCTCGTACCGTAATATTGCCTCTCGAAGTCTACGCCTTGAACTCACATAGTTGTGGAACGCTATGTGTATGGGGACACGGCAAGAGTAGACCTGGAAACAAATGCGATTATCACTAATTATTACACGATATAATACACCACGGTACCGTGGTAAGAAACCTGTAAAAACTCATACGAGTTCTTTTCGGAACGGCTACACGCTCTACGGTTACGGCACAGATTGCTTAATAGTTACTACGTAACAGATAGATCACTCTCATACAAAATCCAAAATACCTACTTACATAGCTTATTAAATCTAACTAATGACGTCAGGCGCTCACTTGGAAAAAGGAACCTAAGCAGACGTACAGAGAGGTGAAAATACGTTGCCTGTTTGTGCGGAATCGAATGCGCTAGGGTTGTACAAGGATCGTAAAAGTGCCTACAGATTTGCTCGACTTTATCGATGCACCCACGCTGCTTCTGTGCCTTTGAGTGCCTAAGACAGCTGCGCGTGCGTGTGGTTTCGAGTGCGTGAAGTGCCAGTGAGTGCGTGCGAATGCGAGACCGTGTGAGTGCCTACTACTAGCGTAGCGGAATACAGCCTATAAACTCTTTCGAAAACTTCTTACAAAACGTGCCGTACGATTATTCAGATATGCGTGCTACACTCTTTGAGCGTTTGTACCGACGTCGACACACTCAGCGGTAGGCACTTATAGCGAAATCTTCAGCGAGTGACGAAGTCCTAGTTGCGTGTTGACTGGCCAGCGGCAGACGGCAACTTTAATAAAAGACTTTTGAGCCGTCTACCCTCTTTAGCCGTCGACGACTACCTTCTCATTACTTGTGGCGTTGTCACTCACTTTTTTTGCGACAAACTACACTCACTGCATCCACACGTGAAACTAAGTCGAAGCATTTTTGCTTTTATTAAAATAAAAAACAAAGATGCATTATACTATATATATATACTATTACCATGGAGCGTGTAACCGTTCCGAAATATGGGGAAAATAACAATAACTTATATTGAGGTAAGAAATTGTAATAATCAGTGTAGTGATAGATAATAACTATAATAACCACGAAAGTCTTAAAATGTAAAAGTAAAAAAGCAAAAGTAAAGTAAGCACTAGTTTCCTCTTAAGAGAATGTTATGCAATAAGTTCATGATGTTGGACCATTGACTTACAATTATATGGACGTCGGGTCCGCGCTAAAAAGTGTCCGCACTTGTAAGGCGCTAAAATCGTATACAGAGCGCGACACTCCGCTTTAGTCTTCATTTGTTCTACGGACAGCGCGATACTGCGATGACATAACAATTTAAATTTCGAATAGGTTGACTTGGGACATTTTTCTCGTGGTTTTTGTATTAGACCCGTCGTCCATTTATTTGTAAGTCAATGTGTTGGACACTGTAATGTTCCTTTGAAGATTTTTGTGAACCTTTTTCGACAAGCAGGTTGTTTCTCGTCATTATCCTTCAATGTATGTGATAACTAAGTGATCATTTGTGGCGCACATGCATCACTATTGTACATTTTTGAACAAAGCCATTCTGCTTATGTGACTTGGGCTATAACATCGAAATCACACAATTGTTGCCCTCTCAGCTCTTAATCAGTAAGCTATTAAGGTTTAGATAATATAGTGTTAAGTTAATGTTATGTTTCAGGTGTTTCTCACCTTAGCTTTTTCTCTTTTTTGAAACACCCAATCTTCTTCCGTACACTGAATATCTTTAATGATAGGTAAATTAGTTTCCTCATAAATATTATTTTCTTTGTCTGTTTCTTCTACAATTTTCCTTGGTGATTTGGTTTTTCCAGGTGACTTTTGAGTTTTCTGAGATACACTGGGTATTGTTTCAAGATTGGGTTTTGCTATTTTAGATGGTGAATGCATATCTTCGCTTGTGCATGCTTCTAGGATTGGATGAGTTTGATTGTACAGATGTGTTAAAAGTTGTATCGCTGAAAAATCAATTATTCTTATAATACATATTTTTATGTGATTTATTTAAACTTTATAGCACACAAAATAGTACAAATGGCGGACTTAATGGCGTTAGGCATTCTCTACTAGTCAACCGGAGAGCTGGGTACAGAGTAACACATATATGTACATTCTACCAATATTTCTGTTTTCCGGTTACAAATTCGTTACATTACCTACCTTTTCGAGGAATGTCATGAAAGTGACCAAAGATTAAAACCAAAGGCAGGTGGCAGTATCCTCCAGCTTCTTAGATTTTAGCTTCACTGCAATCGCCTATTTGCCTGGCAAATGTAGTGATTATAGTATTTTTTTAGTGGATTAATTTATGGAGTCAGTATGGTTGGCCCGAGTTTTGAGACAATACTTTCTTTCAGTCTATATATGTATGAATATATAACTTACCCCTCTTCCGTTTAAATGGTTTCAATCCATATTTATCAAGTTCTTTATTTCTTTCAGGTGTAGTCATAGACTCATAATTCAATATTGGTGTTACTTGATCAGTTTTTATCACATATTCACTATTTGTAGGTGTTTCTATGTTTAATACTTGATTAAGATTATGTTTAAACGGCGTTGATGCTTCTATACCATAAAGAGTGCCTTCAAGATCTTTTTCTTTGATTATGTTCTCTGTAACACCACTTCTATCAACAAATGGCAGTAAACTATTATTCCGTGACTGATTTAAAGATTTATTAGTATATTGTTCATGATTCCTTGATTGTCTGATGCTAGGGAGATCTGGAAGGTTGTCTACAACAGATATGCCACCAAAATCAAAATTTCCACAAGGATTATTAATATCAAGCATGGACTTATGCACTGAATAATCTAATTCTTCGTCCGATATCTCGAAAACTTCAGACGTTTGACTTGAATTTAGTTTATTTTCTTTTGAATATTTTTTAGTAGCTCCTGTGTTTTCATCAAAAATGTCACAAACTATTGCTTTTGACGCATTAGCGTCCTTAAATGAAACGGTTGAGTTTTTACTAACAATCTCATTCAAAAGCTCATCATAATCAATAGAAACATTGTCTTTTTTCCCAAGATTGCTATTCTCGAACGATATTTTAGGTGTTTCGTTTTCTTCATCACTGACATTCGCAAGCACTAATGAATTATAAGAATTTTGGGTCAAATCTATGTTCATATTATTACCAGTATGTTTGTCCACAATATTGCATTTAGCGGGGGTTTCATGACTTATATTTTCAGTTTCTATGCTAGCTTCATCTGAGTGTGGATGTATGAATTCTTCAAAAAATCTTTGAGAGTTTGATTGATGAAAATCTTCTATTTTTTCTCCAAGTGGTGATTCTGTAGATTGTATACTCTCACTCTGTACAGTATCACTACTGCTGTTTACAGTTATAATATAATGAACTTCATTATTTATAACTTTGTTTTTACTATCTAAAGATGCTTCATTTAGAGGATTATATGTATTAAGTGAATTTAGGTTTCTTGAAATTGTCGCTCGTACATAATTTGTATCGTTCTTTGGTGTAACTTTTAATTCTTTGTTTACATCGCTTTCATCGTTAGTCTTTATGTTATTGTCTAAATAATCAATAACAGGGCTGGAATTTCTAGGGTCTTCCTGAGCTCCAAAATACGTCTCTTCACTAATAATAACAGTATCATCGGAAGTTTGCGTACCGCCAACCTGAACAAATGGCAGATCATCACCTGAATCAGAAGATTGTGTTAAATCCATTTCAATGTGTTTCTGTTTTAAATCTTTATTTTCAGCTGTTAACTCATTTTCATGGTCAGAATTTTGAGTGAGATCAATGTTTTCTTCAATATTATTTTGTCTAAAAGGTTGCGAAGATCCAACTACATTTGTGAGTTCCATAAAGTCGTTTGACTTCCTTTTAGTATTGTCTTGAGATAATTGAAAACAGGGTTTTTCCTTTATAGAAGAATCAATTAAATTCTTTTGTGAACCTATCTGTATGCATTCAGTTAAGTCCATCACATCCACATCTATATTAGTAGAATCTTTAGGTATTTCTAGTGAAACAACAATTTTGTTAGAACAATTATTGTCAATGATAGTTGATACTTCATCATCGAAAATATCCGGTGAACTGCATTCAACTCGACGTGTATTTCGTGTGACCAATAGTGTTGGAGTGTTATTGTCTATTACTTCTATGTCTGATTGTTGCCTGTTTTCTCTTGTATTTGGACTGTGTTCATGGTCATCAATAGTTATTATTTCTACTTCCATTTTTGAAGGATTGATTACCTTTGCTTCCATTATGTTACTTTGTGTACAAATATCTTGTGAAGTTTCAGAGTTACTTTCAAAAATATTTACATTATAGCCACTGCTCATTACATTATATTTATTTTTTGTTAACTCTTGGGCTAGTTTTAAAGGTCCACTGAGAACATAATCTAATTCTTCTTGATTACAATTGATATCATTAAAAACTACTTCAGAATGTTCAGTTTTAGGGCTAGATGGTCTACCTGGAATTTTAGACCAGTCTCTTAGTAAACTACCTACACTATTTGGATTTCTTTTAATAAGTCCTTCAATGTAAAATATATTATTGTCTCTTATCTGTTCATATGCAACTCTAGTAGCTATTTCATAACAGAATGGAATAACATCTTCTGCACTTTCAACTTGTCTTATACAGTCAAGGTTCTGAATTAAAACATGAGAATACCTATCAGATATTATTTGTTGTTTTTCAATGGCTGTAGTTAGCAATAATTTATAATTTTTCCTGGATCTTTTTAATTTTCTACTTTTAGTTTCCGTGATTTTGATCTCAGGAACTTTGAACCCGTATTCCTGAAGAGTTGTGCGGATTTTGCCAATTCGTTCTTGGGAGCTGAGAACTTTTGAACTTTGTGGTGTATTTTCTCCGAAGTTCTCAGTTTCCTGCAGTGACCTAGATAATGCAATAGCTGTTTGCAGCTGTTCAGAGTCTACATCAAGTCCAGATTGTTTACAAATCTTGTCAAAGTCACTACTATATGCGACCAATTCAATTTTTTTGGATTTCAGAATGCTTCTTATATCCTTCTGTCCTTTAATCCGTTTAATTCTTTTATTTGGTTTTGCTTTAGCAACTTGAGTAGTTTTTGGACCACAACAACTTTTTTTCTTCTCCTGAAAGTCAGAAAGACTTTCATCCATGCCAGTTTTATTAGTAAAATATTTACTCCTCACTTCAGTTTGAATCAAATTAGTGCTGCAAAGAAATAAAACACAACTGTTAATAACAATTCATTTATTGAGTAAAGTAAACATGCTTACATCTTAAATAACAAATATATGACTTACAAGAAATCACAATTTTTGTTCTTAATAAACAATTTTCATACTAAATGCTTTGACAAGTATTGCTACTGTGTAGCTGTGGTATGGCACAAAAATCCATAATAACACTTATTATCTTTTAAAGACATTCAACTTTAATGTTATACAAGGAGACGAAAAATGGTAGTGGTATCATGAGAAACAAGTCTTCCTCATGGTCTCAAATTCAAATTAATCTTTATTTCATAGGTAAACATTATTACACTTGAAATGGTGTGGTCCCACTAATTTGTCACTAGTGGGAAAAATTAGTGGGACCACGAGAAATCGGCGATGTCAAACTTGTATCAAAACCTAAAGAGAATCCAAAAGCCATAAATATCTTTGATATTGTAACAAACATTATCAATTATTAATTTTCACACTGCATTCTGGTAAAATTTTACTATTGGGAGCAGTTCTTAGTTTACACTGAATCAAAACCTACCTTTTTTTAGAGTTATAAACACTCATGCTACCACCTATTTGTACGGTAAATCTGGTCGCTCGTTCTCTTTCATAAGTTTTCGTATTGTTTCTGCGCTTCTGTTCGGTAAACCGCTGGCAATCATGCGTTTTCTCTCTACTTCTTCTATAGGATCCTCGTATAAAACATCCACTGCTTTTCTTATCCCTTCTGTGACACTTGTAAAACTGTAAAATACGAATATAGATAACGAAAATATAACCTCAAAATTTCACATATTGAGCCAATAAAAAGTTATACTTACTGAAAAAATACACCACAGGCAAGTCCAAAAGATATTGCACCAATTGCAAGGATATTTCTCACTTTAGCAGCAGGTGTTCCTTTTATTTTTCTAGGTTTCCACTTCGAAGTATCGACTCCAATCGCCATTTTGTGCGTTTCGTTATTCAGATGTGATGTAAAAAAAATCACAGCAAAAGAAGAAACAAGATTATACTTTGATAAATTTTAGATATTTTAGATAGAAAGTTCTAATTTCACTATCAGGCAGTAAATCAACTATAAGGATTTGTCTTTTTATACTCTACCAAGTATTATTGTATAGAATGCTAGCGGGTAATAATATCGTACCGTAAGATTATTGGGTATCTGTATCGTATCCTAATGGGTAACCGAAATTTTCTACCAACGTGCCAACGTCACAAAACGCAAAACAGCGCTGTCATTTTGACAATCAGCTGTTCGTTGCCTGCCACTCTGTGACATATACCGTCATTTCAGCGATGCGTTAGCATCTAATAGTCTGTGTTTCAGCGGCACTTTTAGGATGTGTGTGGGTCGAATTCATTTTTCTTTTAACATTTTGTTATACACTTATACCCTACACAAATACTAATTGCAATTATTATGTCTTGCCTGCTTCAAATGATATCGTACGAAGAGTATTTAGCCGCTGAATCTTTGCCTCTGGAAAGGTGTCAAATATTTGCGAAATTGGCTAACTTGAAGTGAGTAGTAGACTATTGTTATGCATTGAAATATTTATAAATATTTCTACTGGTAGAAGTCGGATAGAAATGTCTTCTCCGTGCAGGTTCTCTTGGAGGATACGAATTATTTCATAATACGTTTCGCCGAAAAGTGCACCAATAGAGTAGTCCCACTCGCAGTCGTAAATGTTAGAACTTGTTCTATTGTCTATTGTAATAATTTAAGGGTCGTATTCTAGAACTACTCAATGCTCAAGTCAGGATTTGAGTATGGTTTAAAGCACTAGAAATCATAGTTGAGTCCTTGCCATTAGGGTCGTATTTCCAGTGCTTGAAAACATTCTCAAGTCCTGACTTGAGAATGATTTCAAGCGAAGAGTTCATGAGTAGAGTTCTGAACTCTACTCAATGCTAATGACAAGGACTCAAGTATGATTTCTAATGCTTTAAATCATATTCAAGTCCTGACTTGAGCATTGAGTACAGTTCTGGAATACGACCCTAAAATTTCCATAATCATTTGTGTTTTGAAAATTTTAATGATTATGAAAGAGACCTAAAACAATTTTGTTATATCTGCGGGAGCTTGAACAAGGTGTTAGAGATAATAAAAGAAGAAAAAAGATTGCACATCTTGCAAGCTCGTTTGTATAAACAATTTTATTTATAATTTCATTGATTATAATTGTGAAATAAAGTTTATTGCAGTCAAGTGGTTTTATGTACTGTAGTCTAATAGTTTGAATTTAAATTTGTTCTGTCATTATTGAATTAATCACATTCATCCTCCCATATCTTTCCTAACGTTCTCACATGTCTTATTATTATTATTTTGGATATCTGTTTTAGACTTTCACTTCTCCCAAGGTCTAAAAGATTAATTATCAATTTTTAAATGGAAAAGGATGTATTTATTATTATTAAGGTTACTTAAGTGATAGGATGAACAAGTCCTCTTTAAATAAATGAATTAAATTGATTAAGTCATGCGCCTGATGGTAAACAACATGCCAGTCCATAATAGTAAATATAAATTCTCTATTCACAGAATCCAATTCACCAACACAACACGCCCTGGACGACTTCTAATAGAGACTCTAAATCAGCTTGGTTATAATGCAGAACAATACAGAAACTATTTGGCAACGGTTAAGAATACTAAAATAGTCCGTACATTCTATCAACCTTATTCCAAAGTAGCTATTCTAATAGCTAATAACAGATACACGTATTTATCAAGATTATCAACACCACCACATGATTGCGATTCACTCGGATCTTATTTGAAGACGTTAGGCTTTATTGTTGTTACTGTAAAAAATACAACAAGTAATGATCTGAAAGTTATATTGAATAAGTTGTTTCAGGAGATACCACAAAATTCTTATTGTACGTATTTTTCTTTACTCAAGGTTGTTACTTATTAAATATGGTTCTATTCTTATGAATGTTATAATCAGAGTTCATGACTTGTTCCACTCCACACGCTGATAAAGAAATAATTAGGTATTTGTCTTATGTTTTTAGGTTTTATATTCTATGCTGGACATGGCTGTGAATTAAGCAACACGAAGTTCATACTGACCATAGACTGTCCAACAGAGGACATAAGAGAGGAACATTGCGTTACTGAGAATTTTGTACTCAATTCTGCTGCAAAGTGCAAGCCAGAACTATGTATTTTGATTATGGACATGTGTAGGATTCATTTAGACAGGTATATTCTATTTGCTATCATATTCTCATACAGCACGATTTTTATTTCGACTCCTTCCATGTTTTAGCATTAAAGTGGTTGGAATACAGATCATTACTTTGCTGATTGTGTTGTACAAACCCAGCATCCTTGACTTTTGAAGCTGCTATGTTTTGAAAATCTATAATTTCCTTTGCTATTTAAATTTAAAATTGCGATCTAATAGTGCTTTACGTTTTTATTGTCATTATGTCTAATCCTCAAAATGAAGTCAGAAGAACAGCCAATAAGTATTTTAATGAAAATAAAATCATTTATTAATAATTTCCAACCAACAAATCCATATGAATTGATTAGTGATATAGGTAATAGATTTCTGCTTCTGCTTCCGCAACTGCGGAAGTTCCGCACGCTTTTTCATATCTTTTTCCGTTACTGCTTCCGCAACTTTTTATCGAGCTTTAATCGGAAGCTCAACGTTCGCTGTGCATCAGGCGTTAGTGCGGATTACTTCGCGGTGGAGCGCGCGTCTTTTAGTAATTTTGTGTTGTGTAATAATTGCATTTAAATTACGAAATAAAAAATTTGCCCTGAAACCTGATACTAGTGATAGTCATTTAAAAATTAGCCCTGTTGGCAACTATTTTATTGAGTTTTTTGTAGTATTTATACTTCTGCATCTACTTCCGTTTCCGCTAAGAATTTCTTTTGACATCTGTTTCCGTTATGACACTTCCGTTTTATCTCTAATATACATTACATAATTAAAAATATTACTAATTAAAATTTTAAAAGGAAAAGTAATAACGAATGAAATTATACTGCTTTCTATTTTTGCTTGCTTTGGAACCAGGCAACCTTTTAGTGCAGTCCAGGATCTCCACCATAAGTTTAGTCCATACAATTTTTGTATATAGAAAATTGTACAGCGCCTCTGACGGCTACACGAGGAACTAAAATTAGCTGTAACCAGCCTCCGTAGCATAGCTACGCGACTATCATGCGTATCTAAGTTAGATCTGATTAAGACAGCCAATAGCGCGCGCTTATTTCAATTTTATCGCGCATATCGCGACTATCATGTCTAGTCATGCTACGGGGGCAGTGGTGCCAGATTAGGCGATTTTTGGAAGGTCGTGCGGCGACTAAAAAAGTGATCGGCGGATATTTAGGACATTTAGGCTATATTTAAAATAGTGCGATTTTAGGCTACTTAATAAAATGTCTGGGGAATTACAAACTTGATTGAGGATTATATGTGGGGAATGGAGTTGTAAAACAACTCATCTGGGGGTTTGAGTGGTTCTACGTGCGGGGAATTAGGGAAATAAGAGAGTTCATATTCTCCAATCTCCGGCAGCAAGAAGAGCATATTATTAATTGGTTTCAAATCAATTGACACTGTCAAAACTTTTAAATTCAAATGAATACACTACATGCACTTTTGTCATTTTTATCAAGGTATTCACAAATTAAGAGCGTAAAAAGCTGCGACAGCATCATCTGTGATTTTTTGGCTCAAAATCTGTACCTACTGATTGCTTGCTCCTTACTTTTCAAAAATTGTATAACTTGTTTAGTAGGTAGGGTCACATATCCAACAATGAAACACCAAAATTTCAAACGTTTGAAAGTTATTTTTAAAGTCAATGGTATTTTTTTTACACAGATAGCCAATTAAATTGAGCATCGAATGTCTTAAACAGATTTCTTACACAGTTTATAGATCATCTTTAATAAGATTTATTGTTTTTAATGGGAAATGTTTCATTGTGTCCACAGGTATGTACACAATAAAACACCTTATATTCAACAGTGAAACAGGGTAATTATTTCGTTATTTTTGTGATTATGGGAATAAATAATAATGAAACCTATTTTTAAAATATAAAACTGCTTTAATATACGTAATCTTAAGATTGGTTATTCTTAATCACAAGCCACTGATTCATTCAAATTTAAATGTTTTCATGTATGAACTAGTTCCCATAAATCTATGAAACATGTACAATACCAAGCAATATTTAACAATACGGGATTTCCAAGTATAATTAAGTAAGAAAACGACGAAAATTGCAAAAAGTAGTAAGTATTTGCATTTTTGCACGCTATTCTGCACCATTTGGTAACGTCGCATTTTCAAATTATAGCAGTGTTTCATTGTATACGAGTGATTCATTGTTGGACGGGTGACCCTACTTTGTTTAACTTGCTTGGTAGGTACTTTGCCTATCGTTCTGAGTATATAGATTGGTATATAGTTTGACAGTTTCTTTAAATGTCGCTATTACGATAACTTGGAAAAATTTTCAACAGGTTAGAAAGTACCACGAGGTATCTTTTTGAGTAACGATTTGAGAGCATGACAACGACGCTGTAGTTTTTCAAATTTAGAATGTTCTCGTTCACTTTTTGAAGTAAATAATTTTCTATTAAATATTGACATTTTCAGACCAGCAAATCCTGGTATCTTCACATCAATACTGTTCATACCACCAAGCATAATTCACAAGAATCTCCTCCTTAGTTATTCTACACAATCATCGCAGGCAGCTTACGAAATGATTGAACTGGAAACTTCTACGACTATAGACAATGAAGTAACTTATGAAATAAAGACCGGGGACACAGATAGAATAATGCCTATGGCCAGTCAATATGTAAACGCTTTGTATACGAGACTGGAAGAAGATTTGGATGTTAGTTGTTTGTTAGACATGGTACATGCTGGTATGTATGAATATTGTTCAGTTGTAATGTTTTGAGTACCTATGTATTTTAATTAAGTAATAAATATATCTACATTTTCAAAGTTGGATATTTTGAACATTGAGTTTAGAATACAGAAACATTAACATAACTTTTAAATTTCTAAAAAAATCTCAAATTTCTACGTTAAGGTACAAGTCAATACAGACGGCAGAACATTAAGCTGCACAATGACGGATCTTGTTCCGTTACACTGGAGGCGATATTCGAACAAAAGTGTATAGCTTGATGTTGTGCTCTTGACTTGACTGTACATCAAGCTTGTCATTTGGCAATTTGGACCATTCTTATCTGGATAATTGTCTGGTTCAGACACAGATGTCTGCCCTAAGGCGATTATCACACTGCACCGCGCCCCGCCACGGAGCGTGGAGCTGTGGTTTTTAACGTTGTACTGAAGTATCTCAGTTTGTATGGAAACGCGCGCCGTCGAACACACTGACAGGATCGTTTTCAGATAACCTCCAAAAATGTGTCCCTTTCAATAACTTTTATGTTATTACATGAATGCTAAGCATTATTTATTTAATATGATTGCTTGCTTACGTGTTACACATAAAAGGACTAATTTACTACGTCACAGTAATAAATAAAAATTAAAAAAGTCGTCGTAAACGTCGCCCTAATTTTAAGAAAAGAAGAAAAAAATCAACACTCGCGGAAATCGCAATATTTCCCGTCCAGGATAATTTCTAATAACTTGCACGTCGAATACATACCGTAACTTTCCAATTTATTATAAACAAACATGTTTTCTTGGGAATACAAAATGTGTTTAAATTTTTCTTATCATTAGTGTCAATTCAACTGAAAGCCTCCTAATAACAAAAGTTCATACCGCATCACCTTCACTCTTCGCACACGTGAGAAGGGGCTCCTTTCAGATTGGAGTGTACACAGTGAAGCAACCTGTGCATTTCCGTTTTAACAAAAAATTGACTTAAATACCAGTTTAAGCGCTAGTGACTAAATCGTTCTCATTCATGTAAAGCAATCTATTTAAATAAGTATTAAGTAATAGTTGTATAAACTTTATTGTACTTCAATTAGACAAAGATAGCTTTAATCCATGCACTTTTATAACGGTCCAGCATATTTTACACATTTGACAATTAAAAATGTATCCAAATATCATTATTGTCGCTCTCATTGTTGTCTACTTTTAAGTCTAATAGTTACTTTAAGCTAAACATTTACTTGAAAAATAACAATTAAATTGTGATAGTGGTGGTGATGATGACGATGATGATTGTAGTGATGATGATGTGAATGGTAATGATGCTGATGATAATGGTGATCATGATGATGATGTTGATGGTGGTGATGGTGATATATTGATGTACAACAAGGTTTATATGACATTAACAAAATACTTTTTTAGATTTATTTATTAATTACATATAGATAAATAGATGGTCTTACACGGATGAGAAGGATTTCGATACAAGAAGTTATATTAAAATATTTGTTACATGTTAAATGTTAAATGTAATTTGTGAACGATAAAATGTGTGTTGTAATAATAATTTCTCATTACTGTGCCGTCTTTCTCATTTACGTTTATGAGAAAATCATTCGTGTTACTGCAATCTCATTCGTGTGACCTAAAATATCGTTTTTTGTTGTATTTAACTTGAATATTTCTGTGATTTTATAATTATTGACAATGCTTGAACTTATTTGTATGTTTAAGACCTTAAAACCAAAAGAAAAAAGGGCTTTACAAAAATCACTCAAAAAGTGCCATTGAAATTCAGAAAGTGAAATTCACCCAACAACGCTTCTCCGCGGCGCGTGCGGTTTTACCGGCGAACCGCAGGGTTTGGCACACTGCACTCCCCACTACCGCGCCGATTTTTAAGCTTAAGGACATGTTCAGTTTTCTACAATAGATCTCGACGTCGATAAAATTATATTTGCTATTGAAAATCGACCAAATTTATCTTCATATTTTCTTAAATCTTTGTAATGGAGTTGAAATTATCCAGTTATGGATCTGGTTCGTAAAAAGGGATATATCCAATATCTTTGGTGTCCATTTATTTTTGCGTAAACAAAAACAAATAGACAGTATAACTGCAGCGTCCTGAATGAGTTCTGTATTATTAACAGTTCTTGTCAAAGAAGGATCTCGGCTACATATACAATCACTACGGCCATCCGATAAACTGCGAAACGAGAACTTTAAGTGACGCGGGGCCGCTAGACCGCTGCCCCCGCGCAGATTAAACCGCGCGTTGACGAAGATCTGCGTCTCCGCTAACGTTGCAGTGTGTTAATCGCCTTAATGCAACGTTACAAGTTTAAACTGTCAGTGTCAAATTTGTCTGTATGTTTAAAAATAAATAAATTTAATTATTAAATTAAAATTTAGTTAATTAATAAGAGTTGAATTTAACTCTGAAGCTGGCGACTGACCTTCTTTTATCGTAACGTACCATTCGCGGCGAGCTTGATACGTTAAGCGTTACGGTATTTGTCGATGACTGGTACCGTTGCTTGTTTCGAATTCTGAGCTCGACCATACTTAGCATTCGTAGTCGAAATGTCGATTTTACTCAATTATGGGTTACCTACTGCAAATGAAGAAAGAAAACACGTTATTAGAATTTCACACTTTGTAACGACTCTCGATATGCATGCACTTACAACGCGCTCGCGACGAGCTGTACTGACTTAAAATTGAGACGTAACATAACATTCAAAAGGATTCGTCAAAAAATCGACAACTGAGCGGATCGGCTCGCTGTACTGACTATACGAATGCTCACATCGCCACGTGTTACGTTACGTTGAAATGGACTAGCCGGTCACCACCACGAGCTTGACCTTATCTATTTCTGCCAAGCAGTAATGTCAGCATTACTGTGTTCCGGTTTTGAAGGGTAAGGGAGCTGGTGAAATTACAGGCACGTGACACGTTAACTTATGTCTCAGGGTGACGGGCGCAATGGCAGTGCGCCTCAGATCGTTGCTATTTAAAGAGCTGAGTGGCACTACAACTATTACGAACAGGCGTGTAGCTTACCATCAGGCGTACGACTTGTTCGCCCCGTGACTTGATATTATATAAAAAAAAGATCTCAGTACAATACAAATTTCAATGAACATTTTGACAGTTTTAAGTGTAGCTGTGGCTCACCATAAGTGCGTATTTAAAAGTTTACTTACACTGGATGTTACAAGAGGATCATATTTCGCCGGTGTTTGAGTTCATGAATAAAAAACTTAAATTAATAATAAATGTGTTTAGATAATATCTATTTTTTCCCTTTCAGATGTGGAGAAATCAATGCGAGAGCAGAGACCGATCAAAGTACAATGTGGAACTGATAAAAGGTCGTTGTACGATCCTGCCACAGGTTGGTTGTTTCTCTCTTAACGAAGTGGTTAAATACCCCGAGTTTTAGGTTTAATTTACATTGTTGCGGAATGGAATGGAAGTGAATTTTTGTAGCTAAATTATGCATGGCTTAATGATCTTTATATCAATTGTATAATGTACAAACTACAGGCCAATACCAATACCAATTAACTGAGTTTGTTCCTGAGATATCAGCGCGATGCGGAAGGAGTGACAGTTTACGTGACAGTTATGTCGCACTGTTTATATATGCAATATATTTTATTCAAACCTCGAGTTAGGTTTACGACTCGAGACTCGTGAGTGTTTTAGGCCACCGGGCCTTGGAAAATTGAGTCGAGTTTATAAATAAAGACTCCCGGACTCGAGTTTTTCACAACACTTATTAAAACGTATTACTTATTACAATCAATAATAGTGATTTTATTGTTTCCAAATTCACAAAGTAAAAGATCTTTTTTTTGCATTTGCAGGAGATATTGAAGAACTATTTGAAAAACTAAAAGAAGTAGAGAAGATAATGAAAGAAAGTATAAAGTATGAATATTTTGATATAAATGTGAATAGACCAACAGAATGCACTTTTATGGTCATGAAATTCTAGCTTTCATAGTAAGGTTTTTTATTTGTCAAAGTTGGATAGCTAAGGGATTTTGTAGACAGAAAGCGGTACCGCATTCATACATGTATTCTGCCTACATTGTACAGATCGTTGCTATAAAAAATGTCAAAATTTCGTCTAATACCTAGATGGCGCTGATCAATAGCCTGGAAGTAGTTTATATTAAGTAAATGGCCGTGGATATCAAATAATTCCACTTAAATATGAAATATAGGAAGTCAGGTGTTTCCTTCTAATATTATTCAAATATTGATCATATCGTCTGCTTAAAGGTAAAAAAAAACCACATAAATGACATTTTCCACAAAAAATAACCATCGTACAAATGATGTACAAGTTGTAAGAAATTCACCATCTTTCAGCAGCTAAAACTCTTATTAAGTTTAGATTTTTTTTGTTATTGAGTTTCTCGTGTAGAAAGATAGTGATTTCCTTACTATAGCCTTTAAACAGATGATATGCGTATCGATCTTAGACCATAGTCTAAGATCCATCCTCTAAGATATCAGTAGAAGGAAGGCAGTGTGTAGGTATTAACAAAGTAATTTATAAATTGATGCTTCCTAATATGGGTAGATGGCGCTAATCCTAAACAAAAGAAAAAATTGCCGGCACTATCCATAAAAATCTGTACAATAAGCGCCATCTAGTTGATTTGTTTGTTATCACTAGAAATTTGAGTAGCTTTGATAAATTGCAGCTTGTCAATGTAAAATAAATTAGTTACAAAAATAGCTATTTGGTACTCTTCGCGACATCTGGTGTACCAATAGAAACTAAATACGCGACTACGTTGTCATGTATCGCAATTAGCAGTCCTCTAGTTATTCGTCCATGGTAATATGCTTCCTCTGAAGGCGTTCTAACCGCTTCAAGAAGTAAACATGACTGAATTTTTAAATGTAAATAAAATTTTTAAATGGAAATAGGCCGAACAAAAAGCGGTTTATGCTAATAATAGCCATTACATAATATCCATACATCAAAGCTGTCTATATTCCATATTTTGATCAAATTTTATCAAAGTCAATCCAGTCGTTACGACGTATTTAATAAATCATACATTTGTAATGTTCACCAATTACATACATGTACTTCATGCCTTTTTCTCGTAGGCAATGACAAACGCCTTCCACTTGCTACTACGGTCCTGACCAGAGATGGGCAGTAGGTTAAAATCTAATCAATCCGCCCGGATTTAAACCGTTTTTGCCCTAAATCGTGGGCGGAAACATTATACGCTTAATTAATAGGGAATTTGGTATATTTTTAATAGCAGTAGAGTGCCTTGTGAAAGAGTTCGTCCAGGGAAGTAATTGCCACTTGACCTATTTCTGCCGCCATGCAGTAATGTCAGCATTAGTGTGTTCCGGCTTTGGAAGGTGTTGGTGAAATTATAGGCACGTGGGACTTGTCAATGTTTCAGGGTGATGGGTGCAGAGGCAGTGCCTCTGAAATCTTTGCGATTTAAAGCTCTGAGTGCCACTGCAACTGTTTTGGACGGGCGTGTAACTTACCATCAGGCGCGCACGACTTGTTCGTCCCGTCAATTAATATTATAAAAAAAATGCTTCCACAAGTATTACGAATTTCGAAGTCAATTTTTTTTTAAATGAAAGAGGCAAAATCACACAATACCCACCTTGCAATCCTGTGAACTACTAGGGATGCATATTACGATCAGATTTTTATGAAAATCTATTCAAGTATAGGTACATATACAAGGCAAAATGTGTAAGCAAGCGATAAACATTTTGTAATAATCATTACACTTGAACAAAGCTCGATTTACAAATATTTAGTTGTGAATAGTTTTTGCCCTCGATTTAGGGGGTTAATGGGTTTAAGTCGATTAAAATCCGGCGTTTACAAAGCGCCGGGTTAATAATACCCAAGGGCTTGCCCATCTCTGGCCCTGACACATATCTTTCACCTCATCAACACGCGTCAGTGCTTTCTTACACGCTCGTCGACATTCTTGACCTGACCATTCTTTAGGCACCTTCAATTTGGTCGTGGTAAGTTCGTCTTTGTCGGCCCTTACCAATTTGCCCGCTTTCACTCGCCTTATAAATCTGTTTTCTCAATGTTCACTAGTTCATAATTTGTCTTCCAATTATTTTATAGAATCGTATTTTGTACAGGATAAAAATGGTGCATAAATAGATAATAAGTACATGAAAAAATTATATATTTTCTATGAACAAATCAACTGCATTTTATTTTATACTTTACATTGGACTTTGACTTGCGACACCTTTGCGCTGTTAACAACACTTTAGAATACACTGGTAATTGAGCTATGGACTAGTATAACAAATCAATATTTGACCATCTTTTAACTCTAGTTGAGAAAGTAGCATCAAGCTAACCAATCATGACTTCAACATCACGTGAAATGCCGTTCCAAATCTAAACTGACAATTCATATCTTTTTTATGCTACGTGAATTGCAACTGGCCAATCATATGGCCTTAATATCGCGTGAAATGCCGTTCGATATATAATCACAATGATATAACAATGTAGATACTATACTACTCTAGGTATAGGTATAGCGCAACATAGATTAGTAATAGCAAAGCTCTGAGTGGTACTGCAATTGTTCAGGACAGGCGTGAGTCTTAACATCAGGCGCAGGTCTTGTTCGTCCCGTCACTTGATATTATAAAAAAAAAGCCGAGTATGTAAACTAAATCAGTCTATAATACAAGTGCCAATGAATAAAAAAGCCTCGGGCTTCACCACTAGCTTTCCTTCTGATGCCGATTACTTCTTGAAACCGAAACACCAGAAATAACAAAAAATAAAAGTGACTTAGTGCATTTGCTTCTAAGGGACATTATTTAAAAAAATATTAACAACGAGCAACCATTTTACCCATACAAAAAGCGATATACATGTTATGTACATGTTATGGAGGGTGATGGTAGCGATCAATGCGTGTTAACTCTGAGATTGAAAGTTTGACTACTAGTTTCAGTATAAAAATAGCTCCTTTACCAGTGTACTTATATTAATATCTATTTCTTGAATACCAAGTGGGGCTGGAAGTGATTTACTATGTTAACCCACCAGCTGCCTTCGACGCCTTTGGTGAATTCTCTTATGAATCTATAGTTGAGGATGAATATTTTGTCTTGGTACTCTGGTTGGACTCTGGAAAGACAAACAATACATATAAAACAGTTTTATGATTAGTAATATCCTGTTTCCGCACGAGATAGCATTTAATACTTAATTTTTTTTATAATTATGTTAAAAATACAAACAAAGAACAAACAAAAATTTCTTAAAAAGCGTGCCAATACGCCAATGACAGAGTGTCGCAGCCATTATGTAAATTCGTCTTGATCACTTTTTTAATTTATTGAGCTTTGGCTAGGAGGCAGTGTCGGTTTAAAACTAAATAATAAATTATAGGACGTATTTACAAAGGGCCAAAGTATTCCTTATAAAATTAAAAATAAGTACACATTTTTAATTTTTTTTTTGCAAGGTCCTGTTGTTCAGTATCTTGATCACATTAATTATTTATTGAGTATTGGCGATAGAATCATCAGCTTGAAAGCAATAAAAAATATAAATAATGCATATAATCAAGAAAATGAAAACATAATATACTTAAACTAAAAATTATATAATTATGTAAAAATTGTAACTACCTATCTCTTGATCACATTCTGTTTCACGTTTATTTTGAACGCAAAGAAGCTACCAGTTACATAATTTCATCATCCTTTTCTCGTAAATACCTAACGTAATTACACCTAGATTAATTTTCCACGAAATAAAACTAGGTACATGACTTCAAATTCACAGCAAACAGAATTTTCACATTTAGCACAAGCAAAGCGGCCTTACGACTGTTGCAACGTGAGTTATTTTTTAAAATCTATGTTGCCAGTTTTAAAAAGTTACTTTTAGAATTGTCATTGAGGGCGCGAAATAAAAACTAACATAATTGTATTTTCACGCCTGGCCGCAGGTTGAATACAATCTATATAATTATTTTACATAATATGATTGAATTGAACATTGAACAGGCAAAAACGTGATTTAAAAGTTTAGCTTTGCTTGATTGTTACGCTTAGAGAATAAATAGAAATTATTTCGCGATATCAGTCCCCTTTCATTTGTAAGGTCATTCATATATGGCAAATATAGCTTACATTACGGTACATCTTAAGGCACCGTAACTTCGATTGCCAATTGTACGAGAAGCGATAAGCCTAAAATAATTTATCTTAAGTGACGGGCCTAATTGTTATCACAAATTGACAATGATGAAATACACTGAGCATAAACGATGACATTGAAAAAATGTATGAGACACTGTGACCACAAGTGGATATTGCATTATCTACAATATCACCGCAATTTGAATTTTACATTGTTGCGATGACATTGAAAAGCTTTCCCTGTGGATTTTAAACCATTTTTCAACTGTCCATGCATGAACAATATAGCTGATAGCATTTTTTAATCTGAAATTTCTGTGTACTTGTAGAGCTCCTTGTGAAATAGTTCGTCCAGGAAAGTGCTGCCACCTTATCTATTACTGCGTTTCGGTTTTGAAGAGTAAGGGTGCTCATGAAATTACAGGCACTCGTCAACTTATGTCTCAGTAGTATTAACGCGCGCAGTATCAGTGCCCCTCAGATCGTTGCGATTTAAAGCTCTGAGTGGCTATGCAACCATGGACAGTCGTTCCAGGCGTTTGAACGTCCAGTCACTTTGAATCATAAAAAAATAATTACGAAAAATGTTTTCTTTATACATACCCTAAAGATATAGGTGGTAGATCTCCAGCCTCCTTCATAGATTTCAGGCCCCTCATGACGTGGTAGCACATTGTGATTTCGACCCAACGCTTGTCTGCATCATCAAACATTACACCCACCTGCAAATTACAAATGTCAAATTATTTAAACAACAATACCACCTCAACAGACAGTAGAAAGCTAATGTCAGGCAAGCAGTGCTTACTCCATAGGGAAATAGGAATCAAAGTCACATAATCATTTATTCCATAGGTAAAATTTTTACACTCGAAAAAGTCATTTTTAAGCTACTGCTTGTTCACTACGCTGACCTCTCTGAGAAGATCAAGCAAGAAACTCTAGGGATTGCTCTTTTGAAATAAACTTAAATGCTATGGAATACACTTTGAATCATAAATAATTGTGTGGAATCTAGATCTTGTTGTCTTTCCATACATCTTTATCTAACACATACTCTTCAATTTTGTAATATGCATTTTCAATTAAAAAATTTTTTATGTAAGTTTTAAACTTAAGAAATGACAATCTTAATATATTCTCTAGAATCTTATTGTAAAAACGTACACAGTTCCCTATAAAAGAATCGTTTACCTTAGTTAAACGAAATTGTGGTACCATAAGTTTGGACTTGGTTCTAAGGTTAATATTATGGATATCTTCTTTCTTATTGAAATTATGTATATTTGTATGTAAAAGTTTTTATTAAAATAAACTTACCTGATATGGGAAAGCATAAAAGATATCTTCCTTATCAATGGCCAGCATTTGCCTCTGTGACATAGACAGCTTGGACACAGCCAGCCTCAGGGAAGATATTGCTTTATTCTCCACCAGACCTTCAAGGGTTTTGAAGTCACTTCTTTGGAGGGCTTCTGAAACAACCTGACTGGAGATGTTAGTTTAATGACCTTTATAATATATATTTTTAAATAACTTAATTTGCTTTAGATGGTAACAATAAAAAAATCTTTTCATAATAAATTTGACTATTCAGTTTTTTAATGGACTGTTTTTAAACGATATGGAATAAATGGTCAATGAGAAGTTGCACATGCACAATGAGAACTAAGAGAGAATAGAGCAATCAAGTACCAAGTAGAGCAATCAAGCATGGAGAGTGCTACACAACGATTCTGTTATGAAACCAGAAAAATATAAACGCGACGTAGGCTTTTACATGACAATGTCGATTTTTCCCGAAAAGTAGGTACAATTTATTTAACTTATAACTGCCTCCGTGGCCATACGTTTACCAAGCCGGACTGCCACGCAGATGTCCCAGGTTCGATTCCCGGGCCGGGAGAAATATTTGTGTGGCCTACATTTATTTCTCTCGTGAGTTTGGGTGTAATTTGTGGTTGTCTATGTGTGTGTCCATGGCACCTACGACACAGGGTTTCCCTAGTGCGGGGCTACGCCGAGTGTGTGCGTTATAAAAAACTTGGGCCTTTTGAAGGCAAGAGTGAATAAGCAAGCATATTCCTACTTCAACTACATCAAGGTGAAATTGTGGCCACATGTTTAACCAATACAAATACATTCAGTCTGTTCATGCCCGCTTTAGTGTAATTGGCATGTATTCAATAATATTATTTTTAAAAGAAATAATAATGTTTTTAAGTGTCAAAATTTGTATGTAATGCTGTTGGGATACTATAATTACTATACTATTACAACATGGTTTATTTTATGAACATTTTTTACATATTGGTGACTCTAGAATAGCAGCCTATTTCAAAAACACTTAATTCATCATTAACATGGTTGAAAAAATCTGAAACATATCTGGTGTTCAAAGCTGATGAATTATTTATTATTTTATACAATACTACAAATCTTGGTGTCTTATTTACAATGTAATTCAGCACATTCTGAAAATGTCTATATAATAAGCAGTGATATAGGTAGAGTTATTTTTGCTACTTGCCACACATGATTAATCATGGATATATTTTAAACAAATCATTAATAAACAATTTAATGGCTTCTGGCATTGAAAATATGTGTATAGATACATAATGATTCACATATCTGAGTCTGTATGTTTCACTTGTATAGATATTATTATACGCTTTTATTAATTTATGGAAAGATGTAACATACATAAAATACTTTTCCACTAGGAATATTTTTCTTTCAAATTAAAATGCAATAAGTAAATTTGTGGTCTTCTATATATTCTATGTATCTAATATAAATCTATCCGTGTCTGTGGCCAAAACTGTAAAGTTAAAATTAACCATTGTGGTTTTCAGCTGTTTGAAAAACATGATTATGGTGACAGTTGTAGGACTGTTTCTATCAGAATTTTTTTTATCACTTGTAATAAGAAATTGTTCTATGTAAACAAATAAGACAGAATTATATGCGAAAAGACTAACTAACTAACGTAAGCAAACTATAATCTGAAATATGCTTTTACCAACTGTTGCATTATAAAGATTTATAATGCAACAGTTGGTAAAAGCATAATATTTCAGCCTATCTAGCCATAGTTAAATTACCAGGTATGTATAATTTTAGATTATTTGTTTTTACTCATTAGTTCCAAGTCTTTAAAGATTTAGTTTTTTTTTCTATAATACTAAGTGATGGGACAAACAAGTTGTACACCTGGTGGTAAAAGCCTTTCCCTAATACTTACAGTGCCATTCAGAGCTTTTTTATCACAAAGATCTGAGGGACATTGCTACTGCGCCTGACCCTCTGGGACATAAATAGACAATTCCCATTTGCCTGTAATGTCACCAGCACATTTTTTTTATTAGGGTGCTTCATTTTGGGGTCTATGAGGCCCCATCACTAAATTCAGTTCGGAGCAAAGACCAACAGCATTAAGGAATTGAAGGACTTTTCTGACTCCGACAGTTTATCTATCCTCACCCTTACCCTTCAAAAACCGTTTACCTTCTTATCAGTTTAGGTTAGATTTTAAAGATAAAAAATTAAAAACACATGATTGACAAAGGGGATTAAAGAAATGCAAACCTGAACTGCATGTTTCGAAGCTTCAATGAACTCGTTTAAGCTGAATTCTTGGTCAAAGTACGGTCGAATTATGAAATTTGCGAACATCCAATTTTTTATGAAATTCATGAATGACGGCCACATGATCGGCGGGAACTCCATAAGCTGCGGTAGTTTCTTTGTTTCCATCCTTTCTTCGCAATAATTCCGAAATTGTAATTGTATAACAGGACATTGTGAGGTTAGAGCGACCTGTTTTGGTAAACTTCTATATGAAATTCTATCGTATAGCCTAAAGGTCTGTCGCGATAAGACTTGCCTTAAAGTTAAATTCATATTTCTAATCACGTTTTAATTAAAATTGGCACTAAAACAGTAAAATACGACAAGAAAAACATGAAACAAGACTTCACAAATACTTTAAAAAAAATTTTTATTAATAGTTTTGGCTTGGATACAAGTACTTTGAGCCATGTCTTCGTTTAATTATCGGGATCGGCGGGACTCAATATTTATGTTTTACTTTCACTTAAATTATCTTATCTTTTATCACTTTGAACAATAACTTTGAAATGAATTCGTAATTAGTGGAATTTTCAGGAAAAAATCTTTTGTAATTTGGTTTGAATCGGTTTAAAATAAGGAATATAGTTCTAACTTTCTTCATCACTATTTCTTTTTTCGTTTTTTCTTCATAATAATATACTTAAAATAAAAATAATCTTTGTAAAAACTGTATTCGTGACTTCAAAAATTTTTTTTTATTTTTAAAATAATTACCAAAAGAATTATAAAATTCGCACGCAACGAAACGTCAATTGCTCAATAAATTAAGAAAAAA